GCAACAAGCAGTGCAGTGCGGTTTGGGGATAGATGATTTTGTGTTTAATTCTGTGTTAAAATATTGCAAGAGGATTGCTGACACGAGAAAAACATAAAAAGAGGGCGGAGTTCAGCCCCTTTGCATATTTCTGGACAGTGACGAAATGAGGGGGACGGGGCGTTGGCTTAGAGAAGACTATGCTTTTTACAAATGGTTCAAGTCATCATTATCCTGTTGCGCCATTGTATGTCACACAGGGCTGGCAGTCTAGTGTGAAGGAATCTTGTGCAGCACCTTTGGCTTCATGTATCAACTTAAATTGTAGGGGTTCTCTTGCACATCTCCGTTTCCTCATTTTCTCTGATTCTTATTTCAGTGTCTATTTTAAGATTTTCTTCTCAGTATGTTTCCTGTATAGCGCTATTTTCTGTGTCTTATAATCAGGGCCGTTTCCCCCTCGCAATACAGAACGGTAAGTAATACCAGCACCTTTTTATTTAGCATCACTTTTTCAACGCTAATGCAGCAGCCACTTTGTAGTGAGTACCGGCACCTTTTAAGACATTATGTAAATACAGGCACTTTAGTTTAGGAAAAAGAAAAGCAACTGTCTTCACCCTTATTGAATTCATCCTATTTTTTTTTAATTGTTCCCATGCAATTATTTTCAAATGCATTTAACTTTCGTTCCTTCTCTGTATGGTTTCTCCAACAGTCACTGGCGTTTCTTTGATGTTTAATTAAGAATAAACATCACAACCCTCGGAAATTCCCACAAACGCGTAGTCGCCATATTCAACAGCAAACGTACAGTTCCAGTTCCGATGATAACTCTAGTAGTCTGATTGTATATCAGTCTCACCTTTCTCGTCGGCCAAATCACCTTCTCAGTCCTAGCAGCACGAAACTCCTCAGACCATGATGATCCATCTGTTCCTCTGCACTGTTCACTCGTCCCCAAAGGGTCCTTACAACATCTGGCTTGTCATGCCTCAATTCCCCACCAAGTTGTGCAGAACCAACCAGTAGATCTGCCTGTTCATTCCCTAATACGCCGGCACAACAATGGAGAACATATCCAAATGACACTAACTACGCAGTAGTTGCAATGTTTGCCACTCTTCGCGAAACATAACGGTCTCTATCTTTCTTATCATCTTCTGTGAGTCGTTTACAGTTACGATATGTTTATACAGCCAGCCAAGATGGTTTATTTGGCTGCAATGACTTTCCTAATCTCCATTCAATCACTAGATGTTGTGGTGGCAAATGCCATGCTTGTTTGCACTAAGCGACATCCATTCGTTTTTACTAAAAACCCTCAAGAACTACGTCATACATGGCATATGTTAAAAAGAAATAAGATTAAATCGAACTAGTTTTTCAGTTATATTGTGTATGTGCAAGCGCGTGTATATATATATATATATATATATATATATATATATATATATATATATATATATATATATATATATATGCATGTATGTAAATACATATTATGTGTGGCTGTTCGACCACCTGTTTGATGACATCGTCATATTTATGTCACAGTCTACATCTTGTTTGGTGCACATCATGGCTAATACCTAATCAAACATGATGCGTTGCTTGGGATGGAAGGAGTTACAAGTAAACTGTCATTTTTTTCTTTCAAGAGCCCTATGCGTTCAACCTTCACTTAGGGAAGAGCACTTGATATAGTGACAAAAAGCAGGGTTGCCAGATATAAAACTTTATTTTATGCCAAACTATTGCCCAAAATATTCCATAAAATGCCAGATAAAGTGTAACATTGTACTCGCTTCACATCAAAAGCTCTTGATTGAATTCTTCACTGTCATTCTTACTGGAACATGTGGAAGACACAGCGTAAACCTTTTCAGATGTAAAATCTTTAAGCATTTTCTCAGATGGGATGAAATCTTTGCAGCTCATCTATAATGATGGCATATGCCTTGTTCCGAAAATCACCAATAAGGTCACCCTGCATTGTTACTAAGGGAAATAGCCTGCTAAACTGTGAATATATAACTTCGTCCTCTTCAGGACGAAATTTTTTACCATTTGAAGCCCTACTCTGGCTTTTGCCAGGGTCGCAATATAGGCAGGCCATACATATGGCCAAATGTCTGAACGTGGTTTCTGGGACCTCTCCACGGCGATCCTCATCCACATGGTGGCACTTTGTGTCATCGGGTGTTTATCGCTTGTGTGATGTCCTGGTGGGGTAGAAAGTCAGTCAGTCAGTAAAACTGTGAATACTTTATTCTATGGCGTTGTCCTCCTGCTTTTCAATTTAAATGTCAGAAGCTTTTTAATAATCAGTCGAACGCAAACATAAGTAACAGGATAGGGGTTTGTTAAAACAAATAAATCAAAACAGCAGATATACTTGACATCTTTCCATAATGAATTGTACAAAAGATTCAGCGTAATTTCCGCTACCAAACGGTCACTAACTGGTATCACCCGTATCGCAATAATATTGTAGCTTCAAGTCCTTACGTCCTTCTCAGGACGCAATTTTTTGTTATTTGAAGCCCCACTCTGGCTTTTGCCAGGGGCCGCAATATAGGCAGGCCATAAATATTACCAAATGTCTGAACGCGGTTTCTGGGACCTCTCCACCGTGATTCTCATCCAAATGGTGGCACTTTGTGTCATCGGGTGTTTATCGCTTGTGTGATGTCCTGGTGGGGTAGAAAGTCACTCACTCACTCACTCGCAAATATAAAATGGTACTATTTTCTATCGTCCTTTTCAGGATGACATTTGTTATTTGAAGCCCCACCCTAGCTTTTGCCGGGGGCCGCAATATAGGCAGGCCATAAATATGGCCAATTGCCTGAACGCGGTTTCTGGGGCCTCTCCACGGCGACCCTCATCCGCATGGTGGCACTTTGTGTCATCGGGTGTTTATCGCTTGTGTGATGTCCTGGTGGGGTAGAAAGTCAAGTCAGTCAGTTAGTCGCAAATATACTTACGTCCTTTTTAGGACGTAATTTTTTGTTATTTGAAGCCCCACTCTGGCTTTTGCCAGGGGCCGCAATATAGGCAGGTCATAAATATGGCCAATAGCCTGAACGCAGTTTCTGGGACCTCTCCACGGTGATCCTCACCCACATGGCGGCACTTTGTGTCATCGGGTGTTTATCGCTTGTGTGATGTCCTGTTGGGGTAGACATTCATTCATTCATTCATTCACTAACTGGTACACTGCGTAATTATAGGTGTTTCGTCCTTTATAGGACGAAATTTTTTGTCATTTGAAGCCCTACTCTGGCTTTTGCCAGGGGCCGCAATATAGGCAGGCCATCAATATGGCCAATTGTCTGAACGCGGTTTCTGGGACCTCTCCACGGTGATCCTCGTCCACATGGTGGCACTTTGTGTAATCGGGTGTTTATCGCTTGTGTGATGTCCTAGCGGGGTAGAAAGTCAGTCAGTCAGTCACAAATCTGTTTGCAAACAATTTATCGAGGGGAGGTTGTGGTCAGCTTGGCCAGCTGCTACACCTCCGAATGTTCTAAATATATAAAAAGTTAGCGGATGTTCTAGAAACGCTAGTTTATAAATACTTCTTCCTATAGTCCATGCTATGTAGCATTTTTGTGTTGTTTGACAAAGGCTGCCCGGCCGAAACGTTACGTTATTTGTGTTGTTTTGTGCACATTTTTCTTCTTCTCCATTTTGTTGAGCTTTTAAGTCAAATTTTTCTGGAATTCTATGTAGCATAGGGAGTCACGTCTACCCACAACCCTCTGTCTCGTGTACTTTCAATCAATTATGGCACAGATGATGTTCCATGCCATAATTTTTAACTGTCCAAAATCCTCTCCTTCAGTCTCCCTCTACACTAACTTACCCACTGTCACGATGCACTCTAGTTTTCTTCTTATGACATGACCGAAGAGTGTAGATTGTCTCCTTCTGATGTGGGCAATCAGTTTATCATCATGAATCAGTTTCTTTCAAGACATCTGTATTAAGTGCAGGCGATATAATATTTTTTTATCAGGCATAAACATTTAGTTATTTGCAACTGTATGTGCTCCAATGTACTCCTACCCCCCTCCCTGACCATGCACTCTTATGATTTTACTTAGATGATCAGTTGTGCGTATTGAACAATGGCAGGTCATGCCTGCAGCAAGTTGTAACTCTGCTGCCTTTAACTTTATCATTACTTTGCCTAAGGTAGGAGTCATTGTTGTAATAAGTTGTGACTGGCTTTTTGACAGTTTTCGTCCTGTGTTTTTCTGATTTTTCATGATTTGATATGCTACTAATTCTTGGTGCAACAGTGCACTAACACCGTTTACAATATGCTGCCTCTAATCCGTCTGAAGATCTTTTCAACCGTGGGTATGTTTTCTTCCAGTTACTACTATTATATTTGCGATGCCATAAGATGCTTTCCGTTTTTTTGAATGACGTGGCCATTTAAAAGTGATAATATCTATCATTGATAGAACTAGGTCTATATCCTCTCTATTTTATGTCCTCTAGTAGTTTCTGAACAGTCTGAGTCACTTGGTATCAGTGGTGGGTTTTTGTATTATATACCGCATTTATTACAGTAGGTTAACATAAAGTACAGAGGGCCTTGGTTTATCGAAATCACGATCCGTTTAGAAAGACAATAAATACAATAGAAAATGGCGCGAATCTCCGTTAGTCCGTACCAGGACATCACAACAAAGCCAAACTTAAATAAAGATGTTAACTGTAGACCTAAATTGCTTTTAGCAAATCTGCGTGTTTCTAACGGAGGAACTATGAAGCAAATGTGAGCACATCTTGATAAGAAAAGCCAGGAAAACTCCAAATATGCCAGTTCATTATCTTATGCCTGTTTAATTTTAAATATACCAAAATAGCCGAATCTGGCATAAAAAATGCCAATATGGCAACCCTGATAACAAGCTCAGTGGGGATTATTCGTTTCGTATCTTATTCAGGTGGGCTTTTTTTTAGGAAATTAATGGCCGCCGGCGATGAACGTAGGGAAAAACATGTCGATTTTCAGTGACTTTACCAAGAACATCAGAGACATATCTGCAAATGTAGTATCTGAAGTAACTAGAACAGTTAAAGGCGAGCCAGAAATTGTAGCAATGTCTTCAAAAAACCAGATAATCGCCAAAGTTTTCTCCACCCTTTTCGGTGTTGCAGCGTCTTTCACGCTTGCTTACTTGGGAATCAAATGGTTAACTGATGCAATGGACCCAACAAAGAAAGAAAAGAAAATGGCACAGGCAGAGGTGAGTATTCGCGTTTTTAAAATTTAAATTTCATTCTATTCGAATGAAAATAATAAAAGCAAGAAAGTTAAATTTTTCGTTGACGCTCATTTTTCTTTACTAAAACTAAAACACAATGAAGGTTAGATGATGAGATAACTAATTCGATCAGTTTAGTTTACAAATGAAAATGAAAGTAAAACAACCAACAAAAAGGTAATTACTGAGTACTGAAACTGAATGTTTAATATAATAAAAAGACTTACTTCGCAACGCATTGAGGCGTATTAGTATTGACATTGAGTATATGGTGCAGCTACATATAGGCATATTTAACTTAACTTGATAGGCAGATTTGATTTTGTCTACCAAAAGAAGCACAGGCACTATAAAACATAATTCCACTTATGTAAATCATAAACATATCTTTATTCTGAAAATGCATTAGTGGGTGGTACCCATGGCCACCGCCTACTTATGATATTTTTCTGTCTAAGTCTCTGTGTTGTTAGCATGAGCTTTATACTTTCTTGTCAGTAACCTCATTTTAAAATACCCTGTTCGTCCAGTCAGTAGATGAAGATGTTTTCTTACCTTTGGACACTTTGATCTCCATGATGGATGATTTGATGAAGTCATTAATAGTGAATCATACTTGTTTCAGAATTCTTGCAATGTGTAATCACATTACAAAACAGTAAAGTAAAATAATGTACAATATGATACAAGTATTAATAGTCCTCCTCAGTATTTAGATCATGAAGAATATATAGTATTTTCTTGTTCTTTATACATTATACCATAAGAAGTCTTAAATTGTAACATTAATATTCTGTTGTTATTATTATGGTGTAAATAATAGGGCTCTCCTCTGAACTTCTAGCCCCGCATTATGGCGGCCTGAAATATCCGTTCGGGGCTCAGTTCTATTGAAAATATGCCGGCTCCGTATAACGAAACAAATGCTCCAACAGGGTGTCAGCGATATGTTACTTGCGGACTTGCTTCTTATTGTTTCTGATTACCGGATAATTCTGAGAGACGCAACACTGCAGACGATAGTAGCGGACGATAATAGCCATTGTTGACACTTTCCATTGTCGGACTTTCTTCCGACGAACAAATCACGGCAAATCTAGGATCGGCTCGGAAAAACGAAACAAATGCTGTAACAGGGTCTCAGCGAAATGTTACTTGCGGACCTGTTTCTGTGACTATGCCTCACCGCCTACTGTATTCCCTGTGCCGCTACGCGCGGCGCGGAAAGTGGTTAAACTAGATGACTGGGACTCACGAGCAGCAGCTACCGCATCTCCTGCAACTTCCTCCAATTACTTTGCTCATGAGTCCCAGGCATCTAGTTTAGCCCCCCATCCGCGCCGCACGCAGCGGCGCTGGGGATACGCTCGGCGGTGAGTTTAATCGCATTTTGCATGCCGACAAGTCTGACATCTACTGCTGCTGAATCCTCAATCGGAAGAACAGTATTGCTAATCTGTGTGGAAGCTCGTGGTCTACCCGCCATATTGCTTTCGTCGTCTGTAATGTCTCGAAATTGTCAACGGTCGCTTTTATCGTCTGCAGAAATGCTCGACATTGTCACCGGTCGCTTTTATCGTCTGCTACTATCATCTGCAATGTTGCGTCTCTTGAAATTGTCAAGTAATCCTAGTATTGTCGCGATTTGTTCCTTGGCAGAAAGTCTGCATTTTTCATTGGGCTGAGCCCCGAACGGATATTTCAGGCCACCATAATGCGGGGGTAGAAGTTCGGAGGAAAGCCAATAATGCTGTGCAAGATATATATTGCAAAGATGACTTCAGCAGCAAGCAGGAGTCGGTATCCGTGTAATCATAATAAGGTGGGGCGGCCTGTTTACTTCTGTGCTACCTTTATCAGCCAATTCTTGAAAAAAAATGGTGCCAAACTTATCATGTCAGATTGACCAAGTGCCATACTGATTAGGAAAAAAAAAAATAATCCCTTACACTTCCATGAGTCTTTCTTCTTGGTGTTTGAACTGTTTGCTAGTTGTTAAACTCTACCAAAAAGTTCTAATTGTTCGTCTACATCTGGACTGTGGTCTTGTTCCAGAACTTAGTTTTACATGCACATGTTTTACAGAACTGACTTATTTGTGTGCAGACTGTTGGTTTATTGCCTCTCAGGTAGATGCATTCTGACTTGAAGGAAATACACCTAATTAGTTGCCTCTTACAACATGCTTGTTAGAGGGGCCAGTGGGTCTGTTCTTTCTTTCCCCAAAATTGGGCCTAAAAACCCACGTAAGGGACTACTAGGGGTTGATTCCAGACTGTTGCCTTGGTTGGCAGGTGCACTAACTACAGCTCTGGTATTGTTTATTATTATGTGCATTGGTCATTAACTCAACCAGTGCCTGGCAGGCATTTCTTCAACTTGATGTATCCTACACATTTGTAACTTGAGTGAGTGAATGATGTAGTTGGGATCTTCCAATAATGCTCCATTTCTTTTGTCAGTAGCCAGTTGCAAACTGATTAAAAACTCCCCTGTTTTCCCATGCTGGTATAAAATAATTCTGACCTTCTGCTCAGTGCCAGCTGAATCATTCAGCACTGTTGACTTGGTCCTAGAGAGCCTTCACAGCATCTAACTTATTGTAAAGTAGCTCTCTGCTCAGAGGGGTACATTTGTTACTTAACTCTTTGAGTCCCTGGGGTTTTAGCATCAGAGGCCCAAGGGTTAGTCAAAGGAGATGTAGAATCGGCACATCTTGCCTTCATTGGGCCTCTTGGCAGTAACCTATGAACGTATGATGCGTTCCTTGAGACTCAAAGAGTTAAAGTAAGGCAAGTCTGGGTTTAGAGAGGTTTTTGATGACACAGTTGGGGACCACAATACATAAAGTAAACATTGAGGTCGAATGGATGTATGTATAAGTTGGAGGAGTTATGAAAGCCATATTATGTAAATGGTAACCAGTGGACACATTGTAAGTTGCTTAGTACTGAAAGAATTTAAATATTTGACTGCATTTTCCCTTGTGTAATCTTTCCTGCTAATTGTTTGCAGGCACAAAAAATGTTAACCAAGCTTGGAGTTCAGAATGTTCAAACGGTAAAATCTTGTTTTAAAGTGTGGTTTTTGAGTTGTTATGTTATCTCTCTCTCTCTCTACTTTCCCCTCTTTCCTCTCCCCTCTTTCCTCTCTCTCTCTCTCTCTCTCTCTCTCTTTCTCTCTCTCTCTCTCCTTTTCTCACCTCCCCCTCCCATCCATGTCTTGTACAAGACACTGACTGCATTAGGACCGCTTTAATGGATCTTAGGAGGAGGAGAATGTGTGAGAGACACGTGCATCAAACTCTCTTCCCCCGCCCCTCCCCCCACTTACTCACTTTTTTGTTTTATCTTCTATATTTCTCATACAGTGTTCTGATTGCTACTCAATGATAATTTTGACTTATGTCACTACAATGCAGTGCTCTTTTTTAATGCATGTTTAGATAAATATTTAATCTCTCTCTTCTCTGTGTCTTTGGTAATTGTTCGCTAGTTCATTTTCTCTCTTCAGCTTTTCTGTTTTATGGGGTTAATTGTTCTCTCTAAACCAGTGGTTCAATTAAATAAGACCTGCAGACCCCTCTTAGTTTTTTACCACAGACCCCATACTTTTAAAAAGTCAAAATGTATTAAATAAAAAATTACAAAACCCTAAATCTTTATTCTTTGTCTGCCTTTCCAACCCCCAATAGTGCATATGCCTTCAACCAACTCACACCATTTCATTCTATCCTTCATTATCACATGCAACTGTCCCCATGTCCTGCCCATTTTTAAAACTCTCTAGCTCCCTTTTCTATGTGTTTTTGTGTGTGTGTCTTTCTTTATTTGCATGCCTTCATGACTTCTGGTGCAGACATTATTTCTAGTTATATTGATCTCAGTTTTTCTCACCATGTGTCCTGTCCAATACCATTGTCTTGGTCCACTGGAACTTGTTTAGTGCTCTCACAAAGCTCTACTTTTGTTATATTAGAATTGCAGACAAGTGTGATGAGGGTTGTTACTATTTTTTGTGTTCATTTCGTAAACAAGATCGTGAACCCTTTATTTGTTCCTGGGGCTGGGAGACCAACAGTCAAAAGCCACTGATCTAAGCTGTGGAATGTTGGAATCCAGAACTTTTATCTTCATTTAACTTGTAACATAAAGTAATAGGGAAAAGCCTGTGCTATACAGCTGCATACATTTGTTGTTATATATCATTTGTGTGCTGAGACAACAAAATAATTGCACTAAGGGCTAAAACCTTATCGGGTGTATAAAAGTGCATTTTAGAGAAAAATTGAATAATATATCTACCTGAATAGTAGATATAACCTGTGATTTGTAGAAGATTTAATGATTCTGAATCAAACAGGCACTGTCTCCACGATCAAGGCTGGCTGCAACAAATTTCTAATACTGTCTTTAGCCCTGGTTGTATACTGTACACTGCACCATATGTGTGTTCATTTCTTTGTGTTATCTTTCCATTTATCTCAGTCTACCTCTTGCTGGCTTGCCTTTCATTTTCCCCTCGAGTGTAGTTTTTATAAGAGTGGTTTTGTGAGTGTGTTCTCCCCACCCACTCCCCCTCCACAGCAACTTCCTTTTCACTCAAAACCTTTCTATTTGATTTCATTTTTTAAATTTTCATTAAATGCAACTTATTATTCTATATATTACATGTAGAAGGCCTCAGATTTGCTTTCTGATTGCTTTTCATTATCAAGATTTGGACACTAAATAGTAAGCAGGGTTCGTAGCCGACCTTGAAAAAGTCAGGAACTGCAAGATCCCTCTAAAGGCCTTGAAAAAAACTTCGGATCTTTATAAAAACTGACAAAAAAACCTTGAACTTTACCCACCAAACCTTGAACTTTACACACCGTAACCAGGACATGAAAAAAAAAAGTCAATTTCATGAGATTTTCGGCAATCTGGCTTGCTTTTTTGCGGTTACAGCAGTTTAAATTGATCATCGGTAAACTGCGTGGGCAAAAAAATGAATGTTGGGCTACCGCTACCGTGCTGGCAGTCTGTGAGTGGGCGAGCCATGGTTCACAGTCTCATTGTTTGCTTTGCTGGACAGTGCCCAATGAGCTTTCTTCGCTTTTATCTTCTCTTGACCCCTTCCCCCTCTCACTTCCTTCATTTGGCTTAGCAAGGTCAGCTGGTACTAGGTGCAGAACAACACACACCCCCCCCCCCCCCCCCCCCCCCCCAACATTCATACACATCAAATATATGTATAATATACGTTTGGACCCTCCCCTCCCCCCCTCTTTCCAATGATGACAACTAGGGTGTCCGCCCCACTACACACAGTGATGATACTTAAGGTGGCCGCACTGCACTCCCCCCTCCACCCTATAGTGATGACACCTGGCGTGAGCGCCCCCCCCCCCCCCGCCCCCAATGTAAGACGGGCCTGCGACCCTAATTTGTAACCCTTTGAAAATCCCTACCTGCCCCTCTCTCTTTATCTTTGTCACTGTCTTCCTCCCCATCTCTCTCTCTCCCTCGCTGGCTTTATGTCTTTTTGCCTCTCTCCATCACTTCCTTTTTGTATACCTCCCTCCCATTCTCTTGCTCTGCATTTTTCCTTTCTCTTTGGTTCTCTCCCTCTGTGTTTGCCTATCTATACTGTCCCTCTGTTTCTTCCTCCTTTCTGTCTAGATCTCTCTGCTTGCATTCCTCTCTTCCCGTCTCTTTCCAACTCTCTTTGTCATATTTTTCCTCCTTCCATATCTCGGTTTCTCTCCCTTCTTCATCTGCCTGTCTCTCTATCTGCATGTACCCCTTTCTATGTTTGTCTCCCTCTTTTTTTTTGCTCTCACTCTCCCTTATCATGTCTTGATTCCTCCCTCTGTCACCTTTTTTCTTCCATCCCTCTCTCTTTTCCTTCTTCCCCCTTTCTTCATCTATCTATCTCTACCTGCCTGTCCCTCTTTACCCACTCAGTAATGTCTTCTTCTCTGTCTTTCACAATGTCTCTCCCACTCAACCTCACATCTGTCTTCCTCCCTCTCTGTATGATTGTCTCTCTCTCTGTATGATTCTCTCTCTCTCTCTGTCTCCTTTTCAGTCCTTCAGGTACCAGGTCTAGAACAGATAGGACTTCATTTTGGCCCCTCTGCCACCAAGTCTAAAGAAAAATGTAAAAAATGCTATATCTGTGCGGGTATACCCACATGTGTGCACATGAATTAAGTACCTTGTGTGCTCGTTACACTCTTGAAAAATACCTTGTTTCAAAATCACTCCCAGACAGCCTTGAAAAAAAAAAAAGATACATTGAAAAAGCCTTGAAATTGATTGGTAAATTTGGCTATGAAACCTGAGTAGGGTTGAATATGCATAACATTTAACATGACTCTGGGTCACTGTTTCTCATTTGGTGGACTGTGGACCCCCAGGGTTCTACTGAACAAATTTAAGTGGAATTATTTATAAAAGAAACAGACAATGTTTTCTCTCCACCCCGTCTCAGGGATTTCATTGGGAGTTCCTGGGAAAGTTCAATAGTATAAGGGTGTTAGGGTATGAAATGAACACTGACTAACCCTAAACCCCCCACTCCCCAGTTGGACTTTACTGTGAATTCCTTTCAGCAAGTCCAATGTAAATAAATTGTTAAAAGTAATTTATTGTGACTTTTAACATATTTAAAGGAGTGGGGGTCCATGGCAGACCTTCAGAAATAAGATGGATCTGCAGGTCTTAGCTAATTGGGAACCATGGCTCGATTGTTCATTTAAAGATCATCTTCATAGTTCATCGGATATGACCATAAGTGCTCCGATATTCTCCTGATTGTGTCTCTGCTCTTAGTGTTTTTAGGCTAACAACTCCCATTCTGTTCTGGCTGATGTAATGACGGGTGGCTCCCGCACGGTTTTCCTGTCTCCCTGCTCCAGTTGGTACACCTCTGGTATGCAGTCTGTTGAGTAGAAAATCATTTTTCACGAAACTGAAAGCCTCACAGCCTCTTGGCTGTAGATCAGGGCTACTCAACTATCTTTCTTAGGGCTACAATTTTTTTTAATGGGGATCATTACAGGTTAGAAGCTCGAGCTCCAGCATAGAAAGATCATTGAAAAAATACAACTGGCAATGATCGGCGGCCTCTTTATAGGCTTCCGCGGGAGAGATTTGGTCCTTGGACTGCCAGTTGAAAGCCTTGCTCTAGATGATTCACTATATTTGTACTTCATGTTTTTTTTTTTTTCAAATCTGACAGTTGACAGATTATGAACTGTGTATAGCAGCCAATTTATTAGACCCCAGCTCAATGGAAGTTACATGGGAAAGCATCGGAGGCCTTGATAACACAATTCAAGAGATCCAGGAGACAGTTATTCTTCCCTTTAAACGAGCAGATCTGTTCCGAAACTCGAGTCTGCTGCAGCCACCTAAAGGTAGCATATTGTTCTGCTGAATTTAGAGTTGTAGTTTCCAGTTATCTCATTTCATAGCATAACAGTTTAACACATAACATTTAACACATAACAGTTTAACACATAACATTTAACACATAACATTTCATAGCATAACAGTTTAACACATAAAATTTAACACATAACATTTCATAGCATAACAGTTTAACACATAACATTTCATAGCATAACAGTTTAACACATAAAATTTAACACATAACATTTCATAGCATAACAGTTTAACACATAACATGTCATAGCATAACAGTTTAACACATAAAATTTAACACATAACATTTCATAGCATAACAGTTTAACACATAAAATTTAACACATAACATTTCATAGCATAACAGTTTAACACATAACATTTAACACATAACAGTTTAACACATAAAATTTAACACATAAAATTTAACACATAACATGTCAGCATAGATTTTACAGCATAACATGTCATCACATAACATTTCATCTCAACATTTCAAAGCATACCATTTTATAGCATAACATTTTGTAGCCTATTTCTCACATACCATTTCATAGCATGACATTTTCATATAACATTTTATAGCATAACATTTCTTAATATAACATTTAATAGCACAACAAGCCATAGTATAACATAAGTGTCCATAGATTTGGGCATGTGATTGAACTAAGACAACATTTATTTGTAAATTTGGCTATGAACCATGTCTAATGTTATATGATAAAATGTTCCTGCTGTCTTCTGTCATGGATTGATGTAAATTATTGGTTTCACCACTTCTGTCCTTACGTGTCTCACTCTCTCATTGCATACATTCCGATCTAAGCATTTAATAATTTAAAAGCTCAGCATCCTGAGTAATAAGGAGTTAAAGTAACATCTGCCTGTGGCTGAAGAAGTTAATGGAGATATATGAAGCTTAGAGGTTACTTAACAGGCTTCACAATCTTTAAGGTACCATAATTTGATTTCGATGGCAGGCTGATTAGAAACAACTATTCTTACGGTTTTCGGGCAGTAGTAAAAGAGTTGCACCATGGAAGAGATTGGGGCCTACCTACATTATAGAGACAGCACACAGTTTTAAAAAAAAGTGTATTTATGGCAGCCTCATAATATGGAGAAAAAAAAAAGTGCAAAAGAACCCTCACTATAAAGCTCAAGTAAAGAACCTTTTCCCACACCTTCATGCATATTGGGCAAATAAGGCTAGACCTATATTTTATAGACCAGTTGGCACTTGTGTGTATGGTGGGGGGGGGGGGGAATATATGTTCTGCATCACACCGGCCACCTTTACTTCCCAGAACTGTACCTGGTACCCACTTGAAAAAAAAAAGTCTGGTTCTGTCAGGGCACAAAGCGATGACCTTTCGATCTGTAGGCGAGCATCTAGCCGCTACACCATGACGTCTCCCCACCCTCACCATAGGAGTACTGTAATTACGCTGTGATATTCCTATGGAAATAAAAATCCTGATTGGCTTTGTTGATAAACGTTAACGTAAAATTATTCTTTTTATGCCAGGGACACATCAGCTAGACACACATTTTTGTAAACAGATCTGTTGGTACTCATTGTGTGATGTGGTCATGGTGACCACCTTTATTTCCCAGGACATTACCTCATACTCATTTTAGGCTAGGGCAACCTGGGAGCCAATGTCATTTTAAAAAGAATTTGCCTCAATACGTATTTGAACCTTAGACATTTGGACTGGCTTATGAGCCTTTATCTGACATGCTAGCACAGGTCCTTTGTTGACGATAGTGGTGAGGATATAATTAATTTTGTTGACAAAGTAATTTTTGTTTTGTTTATAATGATTTGCACAGGTATATTACTGTATGGCCCACCTGGCTGTGGGAAGACAATGATTGCAAAGGCCACAGCTAAAGCTGCAGGTAAAGATCACTAAATCACTAAGTGTCATGGACCATCTCCTTATCTCACATTTTTGTAAGCCCCATTTTCTAAATGGTGTTACATCTTAACTTGATATAAGTAATACTTCGTGTGATATACCATCTTGCGTGTATTAGTTTGTAAAGGATTATTTTCATTGCACATAAATACCCCTAAAAATGCTTCAGGCTCCTCCAAGAGATCATGCAAGGAGAATCTTAAGCCCAGTGCTCAAATGCCGTAGCAAGAGACCCATTGTGTAAACAAGAATCACACATATTTTAATCGTTCTTATTTTATATATAGCTTTTATAATTTTAAATATTTCTGCTAAGCGGCTGCTTGTGAACTGCTGTTGTCGATTTCCAACTGCTGTTTAAAACACACATGGGTACTGTGGCTTTTCATCTTTATCTGTGAAATATAAAGATGTATTTCACTAACTCATCCCACATTCATGGTGAAATATATCCCCTGTTTCCTTGTTTTGTGAAAATCAAATCACTGTTGTTACTGTTTGCATGTACCCTTTTTAGAGCGGTTGATTTTGAGTCGAAGAATTTAATTCTACTGGACTAGTGCAGTCACTACGAACTGTACAAGTTAGGATGTTACTTTTACCCCGATAAAAAAACCTTCCTTGCCTTACTAAGGATTTGAACCTGGCACTCCACCATGAGACTCTAAAAGTATGCTGAGAAAAGTGAAGACTGGAATGCTTTGAGCAGAGTGGAATGCTTCACTGGAAAGATCACGGGTAGTTAGCATACTATGGATCTTTTCTCCTGGTCATGCTGGCGTGGTGGGTAATGAACAGGCAAACAGATTGGCTAGATTTGCACCACTGGGTGGTGAACTGATGCATGACGGGGCAGATGTTGTCAAGGCCTTTTGGGAACAAGTAACAGAATCAGTAGAGAAACAAGATTATTATGGCCTGGAGAAAATGAGGCACCTGAGTGTAACCAGAGGCTTTGGCCGACTCGCTACACTCAGAGGAAAGGCGAGACGGACCTATAACCAGATTGTGACTGGTACCGTTAGTATTGGAACTCTGCGCTGGTTGCTGAAGATTAGGACGGAGCACGCATGGGAATGCCCCAAGTGCTGTGATGTCAGTTCTTGACTTAACTAACTAACTTAACAACTGATACACTTGCTGTGTTCGTGATAATGTTTTTATGACCTTTACTGCCATTTGATGGAGCCATTATTGTATGCATTCTGTCTCCAGGAGCCAGATTTATTAACCTTCAGGTCTCCACCCTGGTAGACAAATGGTATGGAGAGTCACAGAAGAGAACAGAAGCTGTGTTTTCATTGGTTGGTATCCGATTGTAACAACTTCTTGTTGTGTTTTCATTGGTTGGTATCTGATAGTAACATATTCTTGTGGTTTCATTGGTTGGTATCCGAGTGAAACAGCTTCCTGTTTTATGTCACTTCCTCCATATACGTAAATGGCAGTAGAAGTGTTTGTTAGTTTGAGACAAGTGATTTCAGAATTTATTAAAATAGAACAGTATACTTTCCTAAGTTTTCTATGTATTGGTTATAACAATTATTTTGCACTGGGCATGATTAACCATCGGAGCTGCTTTCATAACTGCAAGACAATTTGATGCAAAATGCCATGGCTCATCCTCAGAGATAGCATACACAATCTAGTTATTAGCTTTCAAAGAACATTTAAGTACTGTTTAAGCTTTTCACAGTTCCATTTCAGAGATAGCAGCTGTCTAGATATCGTTTTAGCAGAATCTGTAAACGTCAACCATCAGTCATCTAGATATCAGCTTTCAGAGCAGTCTGTACACTGCAATATTTCACCGCCTAACTCCAGAGATTGTCATAGTTCAACACAAAGCATGAACAGTCTATATATCAAGGATTACAGCACGGTCTAAGATTTGAAACGTTTCACATCTCCACTCTAAAGATAGATTGTCACAGTTTAACTCCAGAGATAGCATCATCTGTTTAGATTAGCTTCTTTTTCTTCTTCTTCTTCTCTTCCACCTTTTTACCTCATCGAAGTGTCAGGGGGAGATAGATTAGCTAACAGAGCAAAGTCTATAGACTGCCAGTAGTTCACAACCCAGCTTTAGAAATAGATTTTTACGGCTTGACTCCAGAGATAGCATCAGCAGCCTGGTTTAAATATCAGAGCAGTCTGTAGACGGCAAACTTTTCACACCCCCAAGTCTAGAGAAAGCTTGTTAAAGTTCAACTCCAGAGATATCATCCGTCATCTAGATACCAACTATCAGAGCACAGTCTATAGACTGCAAACATTTTGCCTCAAGTCTAGAGATAGATTGTCACAGTTCAGCTCCAGAGATTTCATCAGTAATCTAGATATCAGCTAACAGAGCACTGTCTGTAGACTGCAAACATTTCACAGCCTAACTCTCTTTTTTTCCAAGAATCAAAGGATACAAGTTCCCCGCCCCCCACCCACCTCCTTGCCCCCCACCCCACCTCCTTGCCCAGGGTAGATCAGAAGCGAAAGGGTTGAGTCATTGAGTGTCAAATCTTTCTGGCTGTACCTCCTCGCCCAGGGTAGATCAGAAGCGAAAGGGTTGAGTCATTGAGTGTAAAATCTGTCTGGCTGTAATCTTGAAGGTGAAAATTGTATTTTTTTTTTTTAAATATAGCCTTCTTAATGCCCAGTCTGTGTAACTTCATAAGCCATGTGCTTAAAATTTTCATAGTGGTTATTTCCTCTCCTGGGCACCAGTGTCAAAAGTGTTAGGTACATTGGTGACATATATGATATAACAATTAGACGTAATTTGTATGATGTATGTTCATCAAAATACAGTATCATTCTACTTGTGTTTCTGTCTATCAGGCAGTCAAGCTGCAGCCAACAATCATATTTATAGATGAAATTGGTAAGTATTAGTGTGGTCTCTTCTACCGAGATTGTTGTTGTCATTGTCTTCCTGAACAGGATAGCTAAATGTTTTGATGGATATAATACCAGTCGTACCCATGTGTGGATGCAATTTTTCGTTATTTGAAGCCCCACTCTGGCTTTTGCCGGGGGCTATGAATATAGCTGGGCCATATATCTATCTGAATACAAATAAGCCTGGTCTGTCTGGATACATAAAAGCCAGATTCATATGGATACAAATAAGCCAGGTCTGGATACAAATAAGCCAGGTCTGTCTGGAAACAAATAAACCAGATTGGGATACAAATAAGCCAGATCGATATACAAATAAGCCAGATCTGGATGCACATATTACAAAGACAACAAAATGGTGTACCCACTTCAAAAGAATGCCTAGTGTTTCTGTTACTCAGGGTTTGTAGTGGACCGGGAAATCGGGAAATTACCGGGATTTTTTTTCGTTGACCTTGAACCGGGATTTTTAGCTTATAAAAGACATTCCGACCTTGAAAAGCCGTGAATTTTGACCGCGGCAATGAAATGGTCAGAAATCCTGTGTTTTTCAGCACAGGCAATTTTGGGGGAGCCATTTGGCTTTTTTGGCCATTTGGCTAGTTTTTGGCTACTTTCGTTGTATGGTCGTTTCAGGTGTGAGGGCAGCTGATTATTGGCTATTTTCAGCCGAAATGGCTTGTTAAAGGCCAGGGGAGGACGGGCTGTGTTGCAGATCATGAATACATGCAGACATCCGCGGTGTGGCATGGGGCGGGAAGTAGCAGATTCCGTCTCGTGTGTGTGCCTTTGTTTCTAGCAAGTCGGGCAGAATGAACAATATAAACCGTTTATGGCCGTGGTTTCTAGAAAGGATTACATTGGGAGATGGTGGGGCTCGGTTCAGTTGTATTTATAAATAGAGTCGCCGTGGTGGGGGCTAAGCAGGGCCTTCTCTATTAATTAGAGACGGCATTGGGGCTAAGCAAAGTGACTGCAGCTGGATTTCCCAGTTCTATTTTTGGCCTGGATTTATCTTTACGGTGTGTTTGGCGATCAGTATTATAATTCCCCGAGATTCCGTCTCCTGCATTGTCTCTAACCCTCCCTTCTGATCTTCATCTTCTTCTCTTTCTCTCTTTCTTTCCTTTTACTCTCTCATTTCCTGTCCCCCTCCCCCTTTTTCCTATTTTATTTCTTGTTTAAATGTTTAGTTAATGTGCGGCTCCATAACTCTTCCTAGCAACTCAAGTACACAGGAAGTTGTATTGGGGGGGGGGGGGGGGCATTCTGTGGGAACATGGTGGATATTTTCTTTTGATGTGTTTGTTTTCCTAGCGGCCTTAATCTCTGTCCATCTCCCTTCCCGCCCCCTCACATTTTGTCCTACCTGTTCCTCACTCTCTGCCTGTCTGTGTCACTGCTTTCCTCTCTCTCTTTCTCTTTGTATTTGCCACTCTTCCTCACTCCCTCTCTCTCTCTCTCCTCTCTCTCTCTCTCTCTCTCTCTCTCTCTCTCTCTTTCTTTCTCCATACCTTCAGTTGGTGTAGAAGGTTATGTGTTGCCTAGTGCAGAACATTTCATGTCCAACAGCTCCCCCTCCCTCACACACACATTAAATATATGTTGTTGCGTATCCACTAGAGGACGTTGCAGAACCAACCCTAACAGCCCCTGGCTGTTGTGTGGTTTCTCTAGGCAAATTTACGTCCAGTAGTTTGCCATTGCTTGCTGGACAGTCGGCTTTCTTGATACCACTGTCGAAACCAACGCAAGGCGCATTGCCCGCAGCTGGGATCGAACCTGGCATCCCGGCATTACGAAGCGAAGATTAAATATATGTGTACTTTTAAAAACACATTTGCCGTCACCCCCCCCCCCCCCTTTTTTTTTTTCTCCTCCCACATTGATGACACCTAGGGGAGGGAGTGCACCCCTTCCTGCTACCTTCTTCCCTCTATATCTCATCTTATTTCTTACTCCCTTCTTTCTCTCCCTGTCTCATTCCCACTTTATTTTCTTAAACTTTATTCTCTCACCTCCTCTGTCTCACCCTTACCACCTCAGCCTTCTACACCACTTTCCACCACCTCCTCTCTCCCCTCCTTTCTGTAATTGGAAAACCAGAAATAAAACGAAGTCCACTGCTGCCCTGACCTATTTATGTGTCTGACCTATTTATGTGTGTGGGTAAACTTCTCTATTTTCCACCAGTGGTGGGTTGGGATCCCCTGGACTTTTTTTTTCTTCATAAAATGACCTTGGCTCTCAGGTCACCAGCCTTAAGTGTAAGAAATTGAATTATTGTTGTCACACACAGATAGGGCAAGTAAGGGGCAGTAGGGGTTAGCACTGTTGTTTTTGGACCACGGCCACATTCACCTTGGGAGAGGGTAGGAACCGGAAAAGTGGCCTCACTTAGAAATTTCCTAATTCTATTTTTGGAACTCATTGTTCTTACACCCCCACCCCCACAACCGTGTCTTACCTTTCTTCTCTCACCCCTTCTCTTTCCTTTGATCTTCTACTGTTCTCCTTTCTCTCTCCATTCTTCCTCTCTTCCTTTCCTTGCCCTTTCTCCTGTCCCATCTCTTCTTTGTCTCCTCTCCATCCTGTCTTTTCATTTTCTCTAGATTTCCTTACCCGCTCCCCTCTCTCATTCTCTCCCCCCCCCCCCCCCCCCCCCCATTTTTTTACTGGTTCATCTATGTATTTTTTTGCCCCATAACTATATTTTCCTAGTGGTTGTGTCCACTACACTTGAAGTTGGGGGGGGGGGGGGGAGTAAGTGGCTGTTTTTTTTCTTTGATGTATCTTGTCTCCCTTCCTGCCCCTCTCTCTTAATCTGTGTTTGTCACTGCCTTCCTTACCCACCTCTCTTTCTCTCTCTTGCTTTATGTCTGTTTGCCTCCCTTCATCACTTCCTCTTTGTATACCTCCCTCCCATTCTCCTGCTCTGCCTTTTTTCTCTTTCTTTGGTTCTCTCCCTCTGTCTGCTTGCCTCTCTGTGCTGTCCCTTTGTCTCTCTCTCCTTTATGTCTACATCTCTCTCTGCTTGCATCTGCTTCTCACCCTGTCCGTTCTCTCTCCTTCTGTCTCCCTTTTTTCAACTCTTTGTCATATTTTCCTCCTTCCATATCTCTGTTTTGTTCCCTTTTTCCTTCCCTTTTCATCTGCCCATCTCTGTATCTGCATTCCCTCTTTCTGTATTTGTCTCTCTCTCTGTCTTTTGCTGTCCCTTCCCCACTTTTCCTCATCATGTCTCCATCCCTCCCTCTCATTTTTTCCTCCTTCCCCAGACTTCTTTTCCTTCTTTTCTCTACCTTCATCTGTCCTTCTTTTCTCTACCTTCATCTGTCCATCTTTACACTGTCTCTCCCAGCCTACCTCAGCATGTGTCTTCCTCTCTCTTCATGACTCTCTCTCTCTCTCTCCCCTAACCCTCTCAGGTACCAGGTCTAGAACAGACAGGACTTCAGTTTGCTGCCCTCTACCACCAAGCCCTAAAAAAAAATTTGAAACACTATATCAAGCTCAGGGGCCGACCAACACGAAGATGGGCACAGGATATAAGTGACTCCTTGAGTATAAAAAAGTACATGAGGCGGGAGAGCTGGTGAGAGACCGAGGTTTTTTTGTCAGGACAAAGGAAATGCTACATGATGATAATATCTGTGCTGGTATACAAACACATGTGGCACAAATGAAGTACATTGTGTGCTCAGTACACCCTTGAACAAGGCAAAAATCTTGTTTCAGTATTACACCGAGACAACCTTGAAAAAAACTAAGGAGACCTTGAAAAAGACCTTGAAAAGCCTTGAAATTGATTGGTAAATTTAGCTATGAACCCTGGTTACTATACAAGGCCTTTATCACTCAAGGAGAGCGACCTAAAATCTGGTGTGGTTTTAGATTAGAGCTGAAAGATAACATCTTAGAAACTACTACCATGGCAAGTGTCTGTGATCAAGGCTGTCAAAAAATCAGGAATCAGAACCTTGCATTTCCAACACTTGAAATAGTAAACAAGGATGTGAATAAGAAGAAAAAGAAGAATTTATTATTGTGAAATTTTTTTTTTAAAAATGTGTAAATGGTTTGACACTCATACCTCTGTCAAATTCCACACAGAGTAGTCTGCAGCCGAATTGAACCTGGTTTGTCAGATTTATGAAGCTGTTCATAGCTCCTAAGCCATATATAACTAACATTTTTTAAAGACCTAATGTAATTTTCTTTCATTTGTCTGCTGCTGCTGCTTCTTCTCCTCCTCTTCTTTTTTCTCCACATCCTCTTCTTCTCCTCCTCCTTCTTCTTTTTCCTTTTCTTAATCTTATCATCATCATCATCGTCATCTCCTCCTCCTGTCCTTTGATCCTGTGAGTTCCATTGCAATGATATTCTAGTTATATTTTAAGTTTTCTTTCCTTACTTATTGATTCACTGAAATTGGTTTAGTTCTCTCCCAAACCTCTGTATAAGTAATTCTGTCATAATTGTTCAGTTCTGTCTATTCTTTGCGTGCACTAGTTAATGATTCTTTCTTTCATTCTCCATTGTGGTTTAATTACTGATTTATTCCCTTTTAGATTCTTTCCTCCGGTCTCGATCATCAAATGACCACGAGGCTACAGCAATGATGAAAACACAGTTCATGAGTTTGTGGGATGGGCTGACCACAGACCCAAATCTCCGTGTTATGGTGATGGGAGCTACAAACAGACCATTAGATGTGGATGCAGCAATCCTACGGCGTATGCCAAGCCAGTTTTACATTGGAATGCCAGTACGTTGATTGCTTAGTAACACCTTTTACTCTAATGTTGTGTATTAATTTTTGAATACATATTTAAATGCAAAAGGATCAACTTCTTAACACTTGATTTAATTTGAAATGGCTCTCTCTGCTGGTTGGCCGTCAGTCTCCTGAGGGCGTCACTTCTTCTTTCTCAAGACCCTGTTGTCTTTTAGTGTGTTTTACATAGCATTTTTGTGAGCTTGATATGTACTATTTAGATGCCGGTATTCACAGCCCCAGATATTACATCTACGCAGCACTTGTGTGGTGGCTTCTAACTCTGCTTCTTTTGTATCTGATTTACTGAGTTCTTTGTGGTACTTTTGACACATCCAGACCAATTGATCTGTTGTCTCCCCAGATAGGTTTCCCGGCCCCATTTTCTGGGGGGGGGGGGGGGGGGGGAGGGGACTAGACTCACTGCTCCCCTAACAAGAATGTCATAGACAGTGTCTTATTAGGGGTTTTTCATTTAGTCAGAGTGCATCTGTCTGAGAGGTAAGTAACTAACAGTCTGCATGCAAAAAAGCCAGATTAGTAAAACAAATGTGCACACAAAACTTCGGTTTTAGAACAAGACCAAAATGGGTGAACAACAGGAACTTTCCGCTGGAGTTTACAGCCAGTGAACGTGATGAAGAAGAAGAACTGTTGTTTCTTGATGTAGTTTGGCACTCTTTCAATCACAGCTTGTTTGAGCACAGCACAGAACTATGTGGCTCCAGTGGCAGTCTCTCTGGATCTCTGAAACACCTGCACTCATATATCAAATACCAGAGTCTATAATCAAAACAGTAACCTTCAGAACCTGTGGCACAGTTTTACCAGTTTGTTATGGAGAAAGCCTGACAAATGTACTATAGACTAGAAGGATCTTGGCCAAGTTATGATAGGCCTCTGTTTAGTCCTGCAAGAGTAGATCATAAAAAGATATACCAGACAGAAAGCAGAACTTCTTAGTTAATGTTATATCTCTTTCTCTCTGTCTCTCTCACACACGCGCGCACACACACACACACAGTGTTAATGTTGTAGCTAGAAAGCGTTTATGAGCACATTGAAGAGATACTGCCACAAATGCACAATAAAATTACACACATTAACTTAACTGAAGTATCTCCGAAAGATGCCCACATGTCTTGGACATCCACATGTCCGTCTGGCCAGTTGAATCTATTAAACACATGGAGGGTTGTAGAGTTGCTGAGCAGGTGTCCGACAGAGTGACAGTATCATACTTTCTGCATCTGTAAGTACGATGAGGCAAATCCCATGGCAAGTGACTGTAACTGTGCCTCTTGTTCTCAGTTTTTTGGATCAAATTATTGGCATCAGTCGATTTCACACTTCTCTTCTTCATGAAAATCTGTCTGCTGCAACTCTCTCCTATGTTTGTGTATCTGTGCTGAGTGTTTTTCATTCATTCATGTCCTGTTTACAGTTATCCTTACATCACATTTGGGGTGTTCCTGCTGGCCTGTTCCATGTAGCTGTGTCACAGGTTCTATTTCTGAAAGTATTCTTATACTGATACTTGGAGTCACCAAATGGAAAAAGAAGGCAACAAGAAACAGAAAAAAAGAATGAAAATGAGTGATATCTGCAGTAATGAACATCAGGAGCTCAGAATGCTGAGAAGAAGATTTCATAGTGCTTAAGCTACATTAACCAATTACTTATTGCTTACTGCTGTCTGACTGTTAACTGTTGTCAATCTTTAATAGGGCCAAGAACAGAGACGCTCCATATTGGAACTTATTTTAGCTGGTGAACAAGTAAGTAACCGTTTTAATCAGACACATTTTAGCTAAATAAATTCAGTTAATCACAGTTCCCACTTTGTAGCATATGGGTCACCCCTAAGTTGCTTCATACCTGTAACATTGAAAACCATACAGAATGTCCATCACTATCCTTGTGTAACAATTGATACACACTGCAGTCTCAGCAAATCCATTAGCATACACTTGCTTTAAATGCATAAGGCAGTCAACAAAATTGCCAACACAAACAGTCTTACAGTAGAAGTGGAGTAGCAATAGTTGCCACACAAAAAAATCATTAGTTGTACATGCAATTAATCACATAAGGCACCACCAATTCTGTGACAGCAGGCCACTCACCATTTTCTGAATCTACAGTTCACAACACAAACCACATTGGACAAGTCTGTAAGCATTCCAAATGAAATACACAATTCACAGTGTGGCACCATGCATTCAGCTCTACCTATAGCTATGTGATGGAACTGTATCCTTTTAGCCTGTATATGGAGGAAAATGCAACAGTCAAATATTATCAGAAGCAGCAACTTGCCACAGCTAAAATTGGTAAACCTGCCTTTCCTTCATATTGACTAGTTGTTTTTGACATTGGATGGGACATACATATATTATATAGGACATATATTTTTTCTTCAGAAAATGATAAAACATTAGAATGTCTTAAACTGGCACCCACTCAGCAAAAAAAAAAATGTAGGCAGACCTAAAACACACAGAAAATAGAGACAGGTGTGACCGCTATGGTGACAACATGGAGTGTGATGGCAAAGGATATGATTGTTTGATATGAGTTGTTTCAGAGCCTATTCTCCAAGGGGGGATAAGGACCAGAAGAAATGTAGGTAGACCTAAAACACACAGAAAATAGAGACAGGTGTGACCGCTATGGTGACAACATGGAGTGTGATGGCAAAGGATATGATTGTTTGATATGAGTTGTTTCAGAGCCTATTCTCCAAGGGGGGATAAGGACCAGAAGAAAAAGGAAGCAGAAATTAGATATTATTTATTGAGTTTGTGATTTCCTTGAAATGTTGTTTGTGACTTCATTAAAATGTTGTTTAATTTAATTGACTTTTCAGACTGAAGATTTAAACTATGACCATCTAAGCAAACTGTCCGAAGGCTTGTCAGGAAGTGACCTCAGGGAAGTGTGTCGGGTAGCAGCAGTGTCTGTTGTTCATGAGTATGTGCAAGAACGTGCCAGGTAAAGAACTAGTTAACCTTGTTATAAATTATCTTTAGGAAGGACTGTGCCAGCTAGATATCGTTCCACATTGACATGTGCAGAACTGCCAAGCTAGAAGTAATCCCCAGTGTTGATACAGGCATTTTTCTTGCTTGGTGCCAGGTTAGAAGTAATCCACAGTGCTAATTTAGGCATTTTTTTGGGCTTGTTGCCAGGTTAGCAGTAATCCACAGTGTTAATTTAGTATTTTTTCTTGCTTGGTGCCAGGTTAGAAGTAATCCACAGTGTTAATTTAGTATTTTTTCTTACTTGGTGCCAGGTTAGAAGTAATCCACAGTGTTAATTTTGTATTTTTTCTTGCTTGGTGCCAGGTTAGAAGTAATCCACAGTGTTAATTTAGTATTTTTCTTGCTTGGTGCCAGGTTAGAAGTATTCCACAGTGTTAATTTAGTATTTTTTCTTGCTTGGTGCCAGGTTAGAAGTAATCCACAGTGTTAATTTAGTATTTTTTCTTGCTTGGTGCCAGGTTAGAAGTAATCCACAGTGTTAATTTAGTTTTTTTTCTTGCTTGGTGCCAGGTTAGAAGTATTCCACAGTGTTAATTTAGTATTTTTTCTTGCTTGGTGCCAGGTTAGAAGTAATCCAGTGTTAATTTAGTATTTTTTCTTGCTTGGTGCCAGGTTAGAAGTGATCCACAGTGTTAATTTAGTATTTTTTCTTGCTTGTTGCCAGGTTAGAAGTAATCCACGGTGTTAATTTAGTATTTTTTCTTGCTTGGTGTGAGGTTAGAAGTAATCCACAGTGTTAATTTAGGCAAATGTGTTGCTTGGTGCCAGGTTAGAAGTAATCCACAGTGTTAATTTAGGCAATTGTGTTGACAGTGTTAATTTAGGAATTTTTCTTGCTCGGTGTCAGGTTAGAAGTAATCCACAGTGTTAATTTAGGCATTTGTGTTGCTTGTTGCCAGGCTAGAAGTAATGTACAGTGCTAATTTAGGCATTTGTGTTGCTTGGTCAGAAAAAGTAAAAAGAAATTTTTTTCAAACCTGTTGCTTTTACACCGCAATGAATTTTGGAATTTAAATGTGTTGGGAAGAGCTATGAAAGAAAATGTTGAGGGTAATTTGCTGTGGACATTAAACATGGAGATTGGAATTTTTTGGGGAAAATTTGCTTTTAGTGCAGTGATCATTCTGTTAAAGTTTCAGATTATTTAATTTGTCGACTAGTCAAGTATTTCAATAGCAGCTCACCAGATCTACCCATCGATGCTCCATCTTCCGCAGCATATGTCTTAAGTTGTGGACCCTGACTGTTCCAGTAGTACACTGATTTACAGAGATTGTACCATTCTTGTGTTTTTAGGAATGCAGTATATCACCATTACTGATCTCGCATTCATCGATCAAATTTTGCAAATCAGCCAACATCAGCGAGGGGGACAACATTGGAGAATTAATAAAGGTATTGCTTTTCACTGATGACTAGCCCCAACAGCAGTACAACTACAAGATCGTATTAATAGACTCCACTCGGAATGCAACAACTGCAATATGAAGGTCAGCTTAGACAAAATGGAAGTGAAGACATTCTCCAGAAAAGGAAGAACCACCAGTATTGATGACAACCAGGCAATAAAGCCAATTATCTTCTTCTTTGCGTTCACCAGCTGTAAACTCCGGCAGAAAGTTCCGGTTGTTTGTCCACTTCTGGACTGCAGTCCTGTTCCAGAACCTGAGTTGCTTGTGCATCCGTTTGACAGATCTGTGTGCAGACTGTTGGTTCCATGCCTCTCAGGCAGATGCACTCCGACTTGGAAGAAAGCTCCCAGTTAGTTGACTCTAACGACATGCTTTTTGTAGGCAGTGGGTCTATTCTTGTTTTTCCCATAGCAGGGCCCTGGAACCCACACAGGGAGGCACCAATTATGAAATGCAAGTATGTGAAAATGAACACTAAAGGAACGCTGTTAAGTACAATATTCTTACCAACGCTGTGCTATCAATGTCAGTCATGGACGCTGTCTTCAGAAGACAGAAGATAAATAGTCATGACAGACATGAAATGTTTACGTACTGTGCTAGGTGTAACGAGAAAAGATCGACTCCGGAAGGATAATGTCAGGAGGAGAGTCAGAATAGAATCAAAACTGAACTTTATAGGTCGACAACAAATTAAATGATTTACCATTTAACAAGTTTCCCATCAGACAGGGCACCACAGAGAGCAGTGTTATAGAGATGCAATGGTTACAGAGTCAGAGGAGGACCACTTAGAAAAGGATAGCAGGAATATCAGAGACACGTTTCAGAGATCTCCACGTCCTGTGACGCCACAAGGCATTCTAAGAGTACAGAAAAGAAGAAGAGAAAGTACCCTTCTTTTCCTGTGTCTTTGTTTTGCTTTATCCATACTTAATTCCAAATTCATGCAACCTCATACACATTGTTTCATCTAACATCGGATCTTCTGTCAGCATTCATTCGTAAATGGTCTTCAAAATTTCTGCATAGTCCAAAATGCTTGCCTACCACTGTCACTTGTGTAGCCCTCAGTTTAAAAAAAGCCCTCTCACCTGTGGTCTTATCTTACTAGGGCCAAGCAGATAATAAGAGCACTGTAACCTACCATGGGACAAGTATAAAGCACATTTTCGTATGTTTAATTACTTGGGTACCCTGATAACAGCAGAAGGCAGATGTTATTAAAGAAGTTAATTGTAGATCAGCTAAAGCAAAGACATCATTTCACAAAATGACAAAAATTCCATGCAATCCTTCTTTGTCAGTTGGGGTGAGGAGGAGAGTTATTAAGAGCTATGTCAGTCTTGATGTATGGAAGTGAATCATGGACAGGTGGCTGTTGAAATAAAAAAATTACATGGAAGTGATAGAAATATGGTTTTATAGACCAATGATGACAATACTGTGGACAGAACTAAAAAAAAACATAAAAAGAATAATGAAGATTAAAAAAAAAAAATCCTGCCTCACCGTAGGACTGGCAAGCTTGTACACCTTATTTCTAAACATTATTACTAATCTTGTAAATTGGTTTTAGTGTTTTTTTTTTTTTTTTTTTCTCTTCAAAATAGTACAAAAGTGTAATTTGTTTGATTTCTGGGACCATATTTGGAGTGAGTAAAGAACAGCCTCTTAATAAAAACATCATAAAATATGACTAATAATAAGTTTTGCTGAAAAAAATTTATTTAAAGAAACTAACACACAAAGAAAACTTTTTGCCCACATTAGAAGGAGATGATCTACATTCTTTGAGAATGAGAAAACTGAAGTATACCATGACAGTTGGAAAATTGGAGGCGGAAAAGAGGGAGACAGAGAGAGAAGATGCTGGACAGCTTGAGAGCATGACATGAAAGATCATCTGTGTCAAAAATGATTGAAAGTAGGACAGAAGGCTGTGGACAGACATGACTACCAGTGACATATCCCCTAGCCTGTAAGAGCAAGAACCAATCATACCTAATAACAAAGCGACTGGAGAGTTGATGTCAGACTCATCACTATGTTACGTAGAAAGTTTACCTGCAAAATCCAGCCAGTCTTCAAAAGGCTAGAAACTAGTTGTTTGAAGGCCTGGGATTAATTTGGAGATGATAAGCTGAAGAAGAAAACTATTCTGTATCTTTACCAGATGTATGTTATACTTTGCCTAACAGTAACTTCCAGTAGTTTAGTGGCTAACAGCTCATCTGCCAGCCTGGAAGTCTCAGTTCCAACCACATCTAGTCGGATTTTTGTTTCATTAAAAAATTTATATCGACTCCCAGATTGACCTAGTCTAAAATGGCTACAAGGAAATCTAAGAAGTAAAGTGGTTGACAAGTTGTTGACCACATCAGATGGCTGACATGGTGTTGACCACATCAGATGGCTGACATGGTGTTGACCACATCAGATGGCTGACATGGTGTTGACCACATCAGATGGCTGACAAGGTGATTAAAACATTAGATGGCTGACATGGTGTTGACCACATCAGATGGCTGACATGGTGTTGACCACATCAGATGGCTGACATGGTGTTGACCACATCAGATGGCTGACATGGTGTTGACCACATCAGATGGCTGACATGGTGTTGACCACATCAGATGGCTGACATGGTGTTGACCACATCAGATGGCTGACATGGTGTTGACCACATCAGATGGCTGACATGGTGTTGACCACATCAGATGGCTGACATGGTGTTGACCACATCAGATGGCTGACAAGGTGTTGACCACATCAGATGGCTGACAAGGTGTTGACCACATCAGATGGCTGACAAGGTGTTGACCACATCAGATAGCTGACATGGTGTTGACCACATCAGATGGCTGACATAGTGTTGACCACATCAGATGGCTGACATGGTGTTGACCACATCAGATGGCTGACAAGGTGTCGACCACATCAGAAACTCAGCATTGAGTGTTTTATAAAATATGAGTTTAGCATCAAATGTTTATTGCATCTTTAAAATAAAAGCCTTTTACTTAGTTTTACTTAGAGTTATAGTGAATGTAATGTATAGTTTTTTGTTTATCTCTTTCCAGGAAAACTTCAGAATACGAAGGTACAGGGGACAGCTTTCGTCTGATACGCATGTCCGATCTTCAGAATGCTGTTCACAAATTCAAAAATACAATGTCCATATCATCAAGAATGAATCAGCCTGTGGCACCGGCAGTGGACTGACCTGGTTGTATAGCCATTCTCGCCCTCATCCTTTAATAAATATTTTAATTTTCTTGTCCTCAGTATTTGCCGCGAATTAGATGAAGGATGAGGGAACAAGCTGAAATATAGTGAAGACATTTCATTTTGTCACTTTCATCAGAACAGCATTAACTCTTTCACTCCTAAGCAGCATTTAATTTAAATTCTTTATACCGCAAAGAGTTAATCTTAAAAGCAATGAATACTTTGTCTGAAGCAGTTCAAATGAGACACTTTAGGGCAGAAGTAGTTAAACTAATAATTCAATTACAACTGGCCAATTTAACATCTGTTTCTCGTAGAAGATATCAAAAACAAAATATTATATTTGGAATGACCAAGAAATTTAATGTTTGAGTCTGAAAGAGTTAATGTTATATATTATCAGTGACATATACAATAGAAATAAACTCACTGAACATGAGTTATGACCAGGAAGTTCAGCAAGAGCAAAAGAAATTAATTGTGCACAGAAACAAACATTTTGACAAAAGTCTTTTTCAATGAGTGCTTCAACAAGAAGAAGAATAGTAGACATCAGCTCCCACAAGGGAAGTCACGTGATTGAGTCAACCTTGTTTTCGTCACTTCTGAAGTGTCATAGTTCATTGGCATCTTCAGCTACTCTGTTTCCATTTAGAGGCAGTAAATGCATAAAGTTCATCTATGATACATCTTTCTAGAAACTAACATCGCATGGTTATGTCTTTGTTTGTTTACTCTTTGTATTTAACATGGAGAACAAGCTGAAGCTTTGTTCATGTTGTCAGTTTCATCAACTATAATAATATTTATTATCAGTTTAAAATATAATTGTCTGTTCACATCACTAGTTATAGTTCATTTACATCATCTGCTACAGTTAGTTTATTCACATCAACTGCTATTGAATATCTGAGCTGCTTTAGATTCTGCTGTAGATACCACAGATAAAGAAAAAAATATTGACATCCTTAAAGATTTGAAAATCAGGGAGAACTGGCTTGTAAGCAGCATCTCATTTCTGAAACTGAAATACTTTAGCTAAATCACTGTGGATTGTAAAGAACAGTAGCAGAGGAGTACCAGGTAAGAGGAGCAGGGACTGACCAGCATGAAGAGGGGCACAGGACATAAAGGATGCTTTGGGCAGGGAAAGGCTTGAGAGCTGGTGGGGTACCTAGTTTCTTTCAGGCGAACTGTGATGAGAGCTTTTTTTCTGTAAAGGACCTCCTGCAAGACGATTATGATGTCACTCTATTTTCCTTTAGTTAATTATTTAGTCTTTCCTCTTGAGCCTAGAGCGGCACCATAGGGTAGAGGTCATAGCTCTCCATGTCTGGTGGTTTGTTGCCACCTAGGTCTTCTTGGATGTTCATTGGGCCCATCGTTAGGCCTTCCCTATTGATGGTTACACAGGGTCTCTCTTGGTCTTCCTTGTTTTCTTTCCCTTCCGGTGTCTGTATGAGGGCTTGATGGGAGAGTCTGGTCTTATCCATTCTAAATGCATGACCGATGTATTCCTGTGGCGCTTTCTTAAAAAGTTGGATACATTGTCTTGCTTGGTCTCTTGTCTTTTTTGTATATTGGATCTTAAATCTATCCAATAGAAATTTAATATTCCTCTAAGACTGTTCTCAAAATTGTCTAATATTTTTATCTAGAGCTATCACTGCTTCCCAACTGTCACATCCATAAGATGTTTTCCTTTAGTGGAAGTATATCCTTAAAGAAGTTTTCTGTTATGGAGCACCTTACTGGTGTATCGCTCTTGAGCTTATCGCTGACATTGTTCTGTGAATATCGATACAGTTGTTTTATGTACAGATTGTTTGTTGTTGTTGTTGGCACTTTTTAAATTTGTTTAAGATGCAACTGTTGTATTGTGCTATGGGAGAACATGAAAGTCACAGCCAATGGTGATGACGAGTGTGACTAGCAAGACACATTTGCATTAATTATGAAAAGCCTCACAGGACCAGTTTAGGCCAGGGATAAATTCCTCCTCTCAACAGTGCAAAGCCTACGCAGTATTGTAGAGACCATGTGTTTCTTTTGACCTGCCTTGTTTACCTCAAAGGAATGGTAACATCAGTATGTTTGAAACAAAGCCTGCTGCAGAAACTACGGACAGATTGTTTGTTATACGCAATAACCACTATAAGTTTGCCCTATTGGCGTGTAACATAAGTTAAAATGAAAAATCAAAACAAAGAGCCTTTTTTCATCCATGGATTGCTGTGGGTATATGGTGTTCAGTGGCTGAATTGTGTGCAGTAGGTTTATGGTGTTAACAAGCATACTATTTGGAGACCAATTAGTCTAGCACTCGATTGATGATGTGGTTACTATAATGCCAATATCCATTATTTCCTAGAACGTTTCTTAGTACTCTTTTTTTCCCCCCAACTTGATAGGAGCACAGGTCAATTTAAAAAAAAAAGAACTCCTGCTTCGCAATGGGGCAGTCAAGTCCAGTCCAATGTTTATAGACATTATTCATCATCAGGTGCCTTGCCGACTGGCGTGGGCGATCATGCCTCTCCATAATCTGCAATCTCCTGCAGCATGTATCAGTTCGTGTGCCGACACACCTCCATGCCATGCAACAAGACTGTCAAGCATCTTCTCCCGTTGTCTTCCTCTATCCCTCCTTCCACAGATCTTTCCAGTGGTCACATGTTCTATTTTCCCTCTTCTCATTATTACTGTTTTAATTTTCTTCTAGTGGTGTTAAAAAAAAATTACAGAAATGATATCCATGTGCATTCTGGGGCCCATTGGGGATGGGGAGAGAACAGACCTACTGTCTCTTAATAAGAATGTCGTAAAACATTACTAATTGTTAGTTTTGCTGAATTCGAATGTGTTTGGTGTAGATATTGCAACCTAGTTGAAAACTACATCACGGCATGCCAACCATCCTTTTCAAGGCAAGTTTAGAAAAAAGTAGAAATTAAAGTATTTATTGTAGCTGTTTCTTGTAAAAAATGTAAGTCTTTTTAAAATATATTGCATTGAGAAGTGAAATCTTAGACCTTATAGGTAACAAACAGTACAATGAGATAAATGGCAGTACCTCCTCCTCTCTGCCGTTTGTTCCCATACTGTCCTCGGAAACTTATTTTGTACCCCTTTTATGAGGATTGGTTAACCAGAGATCTACACAAGTCAGAAAACGAATGCTACTATTAGCCACTTTGTTATCTGAACTCATTCTTCATCCTAAACTTCACATTACTTTTTTCAGTTATAGGTTAGTTGCGTATCCTTTGCAGGACCAACCCCAACAGCCCCTGGCTGTTGTGTGGTTTTTTAGGCAAATGTGCGTCTAGTAGTTCGCCATTGCTTTCTGGACAGTCAGCTTTCTTGATACCACTGATATCTCTATGCATTCTATATTTGTTGTTTTTGGTATGAGAACTTGCCCTCTGCGACAGTCCTTGGAGTGCATATCCATTTGTTTTCATTACCACATTTAGTGTATGTTTCTTAGAAAGAATTTGGAAAGTATTCTATTTAACACATTCCTTAGGTGTATCATTATTACACAACATGTGCATTTAAGTCTTGTGTGGTGATAGAGATGTTTTGTTGCATTACATATGTTTTGTTTGGTAGAATCATTGTGTATGTTTTTAATTTCAAACCACTGTATAACCTGTTCTAACTCAAATGTTATCTTATGATCAAGCCATCCAGATGTTGATGTCTTTGCCTTTGTGTCTGTACAGGGTGTGTATTTATGAAATAGCATGTTACCAAGGCAGTTTTTTTTTTTTTTAAAGCTGAATGTGTCTGCTTGAAAAAGTAATTCATCTCTTCTTCTTTTTCATGTAGTTCTGGTTGTTTGTCCACCATCGGAGTATAGTTTTATTTAAGAACCTAAGTGTTATGTGCACATTTGTTTTACAAATCTGGATTATTTGTATGCAGACTGTTGATTGCTTGCCCCTCAGGCACATGCATTCTGTCTTTGAATGATGTCCTCAATAAGTCAACTCCTACAACATGCTTGCTAGGGTGCCAGTGGGTCTGTTCTTGAATTTCCCACAGTGGGTCCCCGGAACCCTATACTGGGGCCCCGGAACCCATACTGGTAAAGTAGTACACCAGAACAGCTGCATTTTGTGTTAACTGTGTAATTGATGAAAGAGTAGTGCACTAAGAGAGCTGTTTCAGGTGTAGTGCACAAGAACTGTTAAGTGTTTTGAGTTAACTGAGTGTCTGACTGGAAAAGTAATTCACCAGAATAGATGTGTGAAAAATAATACACCAGAATCATTGAGTGTTTTCTGTTGGCTGAATGCATGCACTTGAAAGAGTTGTGCATTAGACCGATTGTTGTGCTTTAGCTAGAGCTATTTGAAAAAGTAATGCATTTGAACCGTTGCATGTTTTACTGTAGCTAAGTGTGTACTAAAAAAAAGAGTAGTTCGACAGAAAACTTGCTTTCTAAATTGCGTTCATGTACTTCAATGCATAGTACAACAGAATAGTTAATATGTATTATCTAAGGTAGGTGGAGCGTCGTCATGGTGTAACGGTTAAGCGCTCACCTGCGGATCGGAAGGTCGTGGGTTCAGGTCACGATGGTACCGAACTTTTTATGGGGTAAAAAACGACCTTGGCTGCCAGGTCATCACAGCCTCGAATTGGTACCAGGTAGAGTCCCGGGAAGCAAAACATCACCCACCAAGTGCCGATTGGTCTAGAAAATATAGGTTTAGCCCTATATGCCCAGTATGTCTGGAAGGTGGGGGGGGGGGGGGGTCCCTTTACTTTTTTACTTAATTAGCATAGGAATATATAGATGATACAGTAGTTCTTTGAAACAGTTCTGTGTTGTCCTAAGCTGGACGTTTGTATACTTTGAAGATTAGAGCATGTGTTTAAACTATATATTTTCAGTGTTACTCCTTTAGATGCAATTTCAAAATAGAAACCATAAGTAGTTTAACATTGTGTCTTACATCCTTGTGACGTTTTATAGTTTGGGATATTTCATTAAATCACATTGATCTAATGCGGCACATGCATTTGTTTACTTGCCTCACCTCTTTAATGTGAAATTGTGTTGTAACCATCAATCAATCAGGGGCCATCTCCACAATGAAGGTTGGCTGCAATGGATCTCCAACATGTCCTATCTCTTGTCCTGGTTGTACACTCTGCCAGCCTGCAGCCAGTCCATCTCTTGATTTGGCCATAGATTGTGTTAAATCGCTTTATAAGTATATTGCAAAATGTCCTGGTTGTGATCCACTTTGGCCTTCTTCCAGACGTACACATCTGGCCTGTTTGTTTGCAGACTGTTGGTTCCTCGCCTCTCAGGCAGATGCACTCCAACTGTGAAGGAAACATTGATCTTATCTACATCAGCAAGGACCCTGGTAGGGAACCTGTTTCTACCAGGATGACCGTGGAGAGGTGTAGATAAGTCTTGACCTGTTGAAGCCTGGTCCTGATGTACCACCATGTATGGGTCCTGATGTGCCACCATGTAGGTCTTGATGTGCCTCACCCATATGGGTCTTAGTGTGTCGCTATGTTTGGGCAGCACCTCTGCATTCCCAGATTGGTTCAACAGATAAAATCATAAGAAATGCTGATATTGGATGTCCAGTGTTGCTGGCATTATGCTTGGTTCTGCTGAATCTGTTTCTTCATTGATCTTTAAAGGAGTGTATTGTGTCTGTTTACACTGACATTTCAGTATCTAAATATTTTAGGCATAATTGATGCTGTTTGTTTACATTGAGAATTCTTCCTCTTCCTCTTTTTCATCCTTTTTTCTTCTAAATTTGCCCTTTAACAAAAGAAGATGGTTGTCATCTTGTATTGTTGTTTTCAGGTAGGCTGAAATATATTTGCAGATAGTCACAAATGCAACTGGACATTTCAGTCAGTCTTTATCAGTTAAGGTAAACTAATAAACATAATGATTAGGATATTTATATAAAACAGAATTGCGAAAAATAGTGACAGAAAGTGGTATTTTATAACAAAGCATGAGGAAAGAAACAGGAATGTGAATGTGATTAAATAAATAAAGATCCCATTAATATGTCTCCTCCTTCATTTTCTATTTTACCACTTCAGGTGTGGAGGCACATATAAGGTTCTGCTTCTTGCTCTGCTGGTCACCTTAACTATGGGTTGTAGGTTTTCTCTGATATCCTTCCATCTTATTCTTTGTTTATCTTGTGCTCTACATCCTTCTCTTTTAGTGTATGCTTGTATGGTATGGTGTAACAAGGCATTCTCTCTAAGTGGGCAAACCATTTTCTGGTAACTCCTGCATTCCTTCAGTACATTAATTAGCAATTAATCAAAAAATTTTGTATTTAATTTATTGTACTCTCGCTATTGGAAATATTGAAAATACTAGGCCGCATATTAGAGGAAAAAGAAATATACCCATCATCCCTTAACAAGCATGTCATAAAAGGTGACTATATGTGTTTGCTGAAATTGAATATGTTTATCCAGTAAGCACAGATATTGCCAGTCTAGCTGTACACCATAACAGAGTGCTGATCACCATCTTAAGGACAGACAGAGAAGGGGAAGAATGAGTAATTTGGTATAGCTTTCTTGACCATTTTCAGTAAGATAGCCTCTGTCTTAAGAACAGATTCTGATCTGGTGGAATCAGAATAACTAGTATTCAAGTCTGTAATTCAGTTTCTGGAACTATTAAATTCAAGTTTGAACAATGTAGTTCAAATTCTACAGCTTTAAAATATCAGATAGAGATACTGGTATGCAGTGAGAGTTGATTCTTGTCTGTCCTTTGACATAGCGTGGAAAGGTGTCAAATGTCCTGACACTCTTGACGTAACATGGTAATGTGTCAGATGTCATGACACACTTATCATAGCATGGAAAGGTCTTGGATCTTGACACGCTTGTCATAACATGGAAGTGTGTCTGATGTCTTGAAACTCTTGCTGTAGCATGGAAATGTGTTGGATGTCTTGAAACTCTTGTTGTAGCATGGAAATGTGTCGGATGTCATGACACTCTTGTTGTAGAATGGAAATGTGTCGGATGTCATGACACTCTTGTTGTAGAATGGAAATGTGTCGAATGTCATGACACTCTTGTTGTAGAATGGAAATGTGTCGGATGTCATGACACTCTTGTTGTAGAATGGAAATGTGTCGGATGTCATGACACTCTTGTTGTAGAATGGAAATGTGTCGGATGTCATGAAACTCTTGTTGTAGAATGGAAATGTGTCAAATGTCATGACACTCTTGTTGTAGAATGGAAATGTGTCGGATGTCATGACACTCTTGTTGTAGAATGGAAATGTGTCGAATGTCATGACACTCTTGTTGTAGAGTGGAAATGTGTCGGATGTCATGACACTCTTGTTGTAGATTGGAAATGTGTCGGATGTCATGACACTCTTGTTGTAGAATGGAAATGTGTCAGATGTCATGACACTCTTGTTGTAGAATGGAAATGTGTCAAATGTCATGACACTCTTGTTGTAGAATGGAAATGTGTCGGATGTCATGACACTCTTGTTGTAACATGGAAATGTGTCGGATGTCATGACACTCTTGTTGTAGAATGGAAATGTGTCAAATGTCATGACACTCTTGTTGTAGAATGGAAATGTGTCGGATGTCATGACACTCTTGTTGTAGCATGGAAATGTGTCGGATGTCATGACACTCTTGTTGTAGAATGGAAATGTGTCAAATGTCTTGACACTCTTGTTGTAGAATGGAAATCTGTCAAATGTCTTGACACTCTTGTTCTAGCATGGAAATGTGTCGGATGTCTTGACACTCTTGTTATAGCATGGAAATGTGTCGGATGTCTTGACACTCTTGTTGTAGCATGGAAATATGTCGGATGTCATGACATTCTTGTTGCAACATGGAAATGTGTCGGATGTCATGACACTCTTGTTGTAACATGGAAATGTGTCGGATGTCTTGACACTCTTGTTGTAGCATGGAAATGTGTCGGATGTCTTGACACTCTTTTTGTAACATGGAAATGTGTCGATGTCTTGACACTCTTGTTGTAGCATGGAAATGTATCGGATGTCATGACACTCTTGTTGTAACATGGAAATGTGTCAGATGTCATGACACTCTTGTTGTAGCATGGAAATATGTCGGATGTCATGACACTCTTGTTGTAACATGGAAATGTGTCGGATGTCATGACACTCTTGTGGTAACATGGAAATGTGTCGGATGTCTTGACACTCTTGTTGTAGCATGGAAATGTGTCGGATATCTCAATACTCTTGTTGTAGCATGGAAATCTGTCAGATGTCTTGACACTCTTGTCAGGAGAATGCACTAGGGGCCCGAGAAATAGTTTTTCTTATCAGAAATTTACTTTATCCAGATAAGAGTTAAAGCATATGGTAATTGCTGGGGATACAAAAATGGTTCATCACAACAGGAATTCATCCCACCCGGCATCGCCTCAAGCGGTATGCACTATATTGACATTCAGCTAAAATAAATAAATTATTGGACCCCATTGACACCTTTCGGGCATATAGCTTCGTGACCTATATTTGTAGAGACCAGTCGCATTCGATGAGTGATGTGGCCTACATTATGCCAGCCGCCTTTACTTCCCTGGACATTACGTGGTACCATTTTAGGTTAGACTGACAAATTCAAATTGTATATATCAGAGGGCGATTATCCTGGAGAAGAAGAGCATAAAAGGATAAACAAAAATGCATCTTAATAAATAAAGATCTTCTGCAATAAATCTTTGGCATTGGAGGTTAGACAAAGAAATTGTAAACTTCTGCGGGAAAGCCCGGGCTGTGTTTAAAGACTTTGGCTTTGCTCAAGAACCTGAGTTTTGCATGTGCACTCGTTTTACAGATCTAGCCTAGTTGTATGCAGACTGTTGGTTCCTGACATATCGGGCAGATGCACCACGACCTCGAAAGAACTCCCAAATTAGTCAACTACTACGACATGCTTGTCAATGGGGCAGTGAGTGTTGTTCCATCTCCCCAAAGGAGTTCCATCTCCCCCCAAAGGGACCCCGAAACAGACAGAATAAATAATTGGTACCCAAGAGAGAAAAAACTTAAGAGCCGGAGCATATCAAAAACAACAACAAGAGGCGTCATCAATATTTGTTCCACATTACGACCAGGCAAAAACTGCAACTTATTAGGACACGTGTAACCGTCCATTCATTTGTGTATCCATTTTCCCTCTGCGCTGCTGCCGAAAGGTTGGTCGCTCTGAAATTACAATCCTAGTCTGGGTGAGACCGACAGGGTAAAACCTAGATATCCCGTTTAACTTCCCAAACAAGTTAATCCTGTTTAACTCCCCTAAGAAGTTAGAATTGAGCCCCCTAGCAACGGCTAAAACAGCTGGATATAACCTGCAGTTTTGTAGGAGTCAGAAATGATAGTCTTAAAAGGTAGGTTAGTGCTTTGCTATGGGCTCTGTGGCGAAGTCGATGCGAATGCTTTGTAATGCCGGGGTGCCGGATTCGACCACAGCTGCGGGCCATGCGCCTTGCATTGTTTTCGACAGTGGTATCAGGGAGCCGACCGTCTAGGGAGCAATGACAAACAACTGGACGTAAATTTGCCTAGAGAAACCACACAACAGCCAGGAGCTGCTGGGGTTGGTTCTGCAACGTCCTGTAAAGAATACGCAACTAACCAACTGGTGGGGGGGGGGGGGGGTGGGGCAGAGATCATCACCTCTAACAGTATCCAGGAAGGAGGGCTTTAGGTTATAATTGTGACTGGATTATGTGCGCCATGCAGTTTGGCTTAGCACTGCATGCCACCAAACGCTCTGAAAAGGACTCCTGCGTTGGGTGCTGGAGCGATCAGAGGAGACACGCAAATGCTGTCTCGACCGGCGACGAAGTCGTTTACCAGCGAGTCAGTGCAGCTGGATGTAACCTGCAGTCTTATAGGAAAAGAGAATGATTGTCCCGATAACAACTGTAACTGTTTATAGAGATACATCAAAACAAGTTCTTGACAGCTTTGTTGAAATGGTATAGAAATCTGACAGTACATGAATTGATACCAACTGTTTGGTATCCCAACATGTAGAGAAACAGTCGCCTACAATAATCAGCAACTACTGGATGATGATGATGATACTACTACTACTACTACTGCTGCTGCTGCTGTTATAACAACATCACTCACAAACAAGGACGCCGAAGCAAAAGAAAACACAGGGCACTTGGGACAGGGTGTTGGAAAGGCTCAGTATTCTTCCCATTTTAGAGAGGGTGGGTGGGGTGGAGGCCTCAAGGTTCCTACGAATTATCTAAGTGTATATTAATAATGTCCCTAGTGACAAATAAATATAATAGTGTAAAAAAAAAAAAGAAACACATAGTTATTTATTTGCACGTTTTTAATTAGTTGACGGGAAAGCCCGTACACCTAAAAACTATGACACGGATGCAAAAGAACTGTCATTTGGTTTGTTGAACTTCAAGATATTCTTGTGTGCAACTGGAACAGTTTCACTGAATAAATTACTATGATTTTCAATCTCAAAACTATTTAAAAAAAAAAAAAAATCATGTTTCTTTCAGTAGCTTTTCTTGTTGTTGTTCTAGTTGTTGCTGTCGTTGAGAAGTATAGGATCGAAATAATTATGCATAATTAAATTTGAAAAAAGTCTACATCTGCCTAGCCCCCTCACAATTTTCTAGGCACTGAGTGCTAACATATTACATAGAACCTGTTCTGCTGTATGGCAGCGAATCTTGGAAAGATGTGATTTCTGAGACAAATGTTACGAATACCTTGGACTGCCAGAGTAACTGACAACGATTATTTGTAAGAAACTAACGAAAGTAGATCTCTATATGCAAAAATAAGAGACAAACACTGTTCTTTGGTTACCTAATGAGAAGAGAGACATTGGAGAACATCGTGACAACTGGAAAAGATCAGGGGAAAAATGGGTAGAGGCAGACCAGGAGAGATGATGCTGGATGGACTGAAACGATGGCATGGAGGGATATCATCAAGGGAGCTGTTCCATGTAACCAGGAATCGTGATCAGTGGAGATGCATGAGCGCCTAAGCCAGTTGGCAGGGCACGTGATGATGATGAGTGAGGCTAAGCTCCCATGTTTCTGGGGCTTCTCAACGTCTTGAGCCCCGAGATTACAGCGCCCCTGCGATAATTGACAGGGAACGAACAAACATTTCTCAGTCCCCCGAAAACTAAAAGAAATTACCCTGCCGTTGGTCATCTATATACCAGCGCGTGGCTTTGACAAAAGAGCTGCAATGAGTGGAGAAATCTTGGACACGTTTTCTGTTTTCTCCGGCTTCTCGCGTTTGTTTTCTCCCTATAACAGTCAATTACTAACTCCGTACAGAGAGAGCCGCACGATGGATCAGGTTTGTGTGGGTTCTATGCAAACATAATCTTGACACGGAAATTAAAAGTTGGGATATCATTCTTGCCTGTCAAAAGATCGTTGGCGGCAGAATTGCTCATCTGGAAGCCTGTTCTTTGAACAAGATTTTGGACAGATGCAAAATGGCAAGAAGTACCCAGGGCGATTATGAATATGGGAAAGTAAAAAAAAAAAAAATAGTGTTGACAATGAAATTGACTATTTATTGATTGATTCAAAGGAGATTTGAAAGTATTTTGGTAAGAAGAAGAATTTGATGAGGAAGCCTTTGTAGAAAATGAACTAACACTCTTGCTTGTCGACCTCTGTTTCACAGGTTCGATCTATAATAATCAGAAACATCAACGCCACCATCCTGTTGTGCAGTTTCACGTCACACATGACTTGCAGCCTAGCCACAACACAGTCCTCCATTTCCTTATATCCTTTTCATCCCATTACATCTCAGAACAAAAAATCGACCACTTTCAACCTGCTGTTGTCAGCTCCGAGCTGACAACAGTCTCCAGTTATATTTGTGGTTTTGTTTACTTGCGCCAATTGCGCGGCAAAAATTGTGTTACGTGCGCCAGCTCTCCGGAATTGTGTTGCTCTCCTAGTAGCTAGACCGCTCCTTCCTATATCCAGATGTGTTATTCTTTTCTTCTTGGTGTTTTTCTTCGTGGGTCTCATCCTCTGTCAGGTTTATTGTCCATATTATTATATCCTTGTGTCCTCCAATGTGTTCCCGAATCTGTTCCCTTCTAGTCTGGCCAGGCGTATTTCGTTAGTCGACATCGTGGATGGAATCCAAGTCAGCACCTTTTGCTTATTTCAGCAACCATCATGGTAGGATTTCTCCTGGATGGCCCAATTTCATTGATCAGTTTGTTTTCTATTTCAGTGCCTGTTTAGTTATCCTCTGTCGGCTTATCTTCCTAATGTGTCCCATTTACTAACCTCTTTGCGAATTAAAAAATTTGACCAAGGATCTAAAGACGATCTAATTAATCTAAAAACGTGAACAAATGTCAGGGGAAGTAATGCTGATCGTTTGTTACATTAACCATATCAGCAATCAGTATCAATTGATATACAAAACAATAAAAGACTAGACAGTGAGACATTGGCGACATGGTCGCCTACTGGCTCGACGGTAGACGACGTCGTCGGTCGAGAAAGTATTTGGGTCTGTCTCCCTTGATCTCATCAACAGGAGTCCTTTTCAGGGCTCTAGGTGACTGCAGTGCTACGATATTTTAAATGGCTCACACAAACTAGTCA